AGAAACAGCAGGTCTTTCTGTAGTTCATCTTCATCTTCAAGTTCTTTTTGCATACATTCTTGTTGCTCTTTTTGTTTTCTAGTTTTTCTCACCATGTAGGCAATTGTAAGGCTTCTTGTGTATACTTTCACAGTATCCCAGAGATTTTGAATTGATTCTTTTTTATTTATTCTAAAGAATGACCTGCTGTTTCTTAACAATGGCAGCGGAGATGCCAGAATAGTCAGCATTGAGTGGTGCTGTCACATGACTTTGTACTTTGCAACTATGACACTTAGTGAAATGTCCTGATTTTTGCCATAAGTGGAGGATCATCTGTAATTACCATATTCCTATTAGTTGCTATTCATAGTTTGCTTTTTTCTTTTATTGATTTGAGTTGTCTTAACCAAATTCAATAGTGATATATTTTGACTAGAAAATAGGTACAAAATATCTCATAGTATATTAAGCTTCAATTGTGTATTAAATAGATTAGCTATATTATGTTTTTGACAATCAAGATATATTAATTATCTGCTGGTATAAACATTGTGCGAGGGGAACCTTTACCTTAATAAACATTGTTTATAATATTTAATTATAAACCTGTAAAACCTGTACACAAAAAAACATTAAAAATCGTAAAGTTTATCTCTGCCTACCCCTACACACCAGGAAACAGGTTTGGGTTGGATAGCTAAAACCTTTTAAACAGAAAACCAATTCAAAATGATATTGACTCTCAGAGAAATAGGCTTTCCCCTTTTGCTGCTATTTGCAGAATTGATGGGCATTCTCATCATTCTGAGACTGGACTGTGGTTCCTATCTTGTTTAATACCTTTGCAAGTCAATGATGAACTATCTCTGTACTCTGGAACAAACATTTGGATTCCTTGGGAGCTGTGAAAGCCAAGGAAAGATTGCTGGGTGTTTTGTGCAAAGGCTGAAGAGTTTCCTCTTTCTGATTTTTCCATTTTCTAGAATTATATTGACTCAGGAAAAGAGCAAATATTGAAGGTCTATTACCTACCAGGAGTCCCAGAGGTCTTTCAGAGAACCTTCCAAATACAGGTGGCTCATCTGGAACCAGATAGTATCACTCTGAAAGGACAGGGTGTTTTCCCTAGAATTTGCTTGGATCTGCCCAGAAATATTCGTGGTAAGAGTACTTTGTTTTCCCATGAAGCTAATATAGCTGAAAAATATAAGTTAATTTCTTTATAAATATTCACCAGCAGTGTGCATGAAATATTATTTTTTGTTTTGGGTTTCAAACTACAATCTTTTAATTGATAATTCTGTTTAAACAGAACTCAAAGTCCTTGTTATCTTGGTTTTCATACTAGGATTCCCAAATATCTTTTTCATATTAGAATCACAAATGTCGGCTAAAAGGGTTAATTTTAAATATTGCTTTCCCTTCCTGAGAATATTTCATTTTTTTTCTTAAAATCATGCTCTTGGCCAAAGTATCTGCAGGTGCATGAAAAATATCAGCTAGCCATTTTTGCCTCAACCACATATAAACAACAGCTCAATGAGCCCATTCTAAAGCAATGATTTTCAGCACTGGACTTGTTTTTTAAAAGGAGCCTTACTAGTTAATTCTTGTGTGCATGGCAACATTTATACTGTAACAGCAAAGAAAAATGCATTTGTAGTTGTCAGACCTTAAATCAGTGTCCTGTATTTAAACAAACAAGCTCAATATCAAAACACTAGAGTATAAATAGAAACCTTCCAACCAAACTAACATGGCAGTCTTTTAATTTTAAATGAAAATTTCATTTTTAAATATTTTTATTATTTAGATAGTCCAGCTTTCAGTCAATACATGATTTTAAGGCAACTTCCAAGAATTAAAAATACAAAATTTAGAACATAAACATTTGTATGCTTAAAATGTAAAAACTAAAATCAGCATCAATAAATAATTAACCATCAAAAAGAAAAGAGGTGGTTTTTCTATGTTCCCACTATATTGAAAAATAGAGGAAGGAAGAGCCCACTTTCTTAGGGAAAGTATTCTAAAGCATGGGGCTCAATATCCTCAAGATACAACCATGGACTGCTTAACCATCCAAGTGGAAAGCAACAAAGGAGCCAAATTAGACCATTGGTATTGTTAAATGCACCCTGAAAGGTGGAGTCCAGAACATGGAAGCCATTGAAAAGAGCAAAGTCTCTTTCAAGTGCATTTCTCAGTTCAGAATGCCTGGCCTTCCTGTTTTACATAGGAAATGAGCGGTACAGCAGCATCCTCAAAGAAGTGAAGCAGCGACTAGAGCAGGAAACACAGAAAGATTTCACCAGTAATTCCGAAGCATTGGCCACTGAACCACCTATGGAAGAATCCTTCACCATGGTAAGAGGAACAGCTTTCCCATCTGACTGTCACCTGGCCTGGAATTGAGCCCCATGAGGAGCAACCACACTCCTGCATGACACAACCACCTCAGGGAGTGGAACCAAAGGCCAATGCTTTTTTTTGGGGGGGGGGGTACATCCTGATCTGGTTGAGGTCAGGATGTAAGAGTAGAAGTCTAATGCTGCCATGGACATGCTAGAGTTGTTGACTCTTCCTGATGTCTTAGCTCGACACACAACTGCAGTTGGAATTGGAAAGGCTGCTTGTTCAAGAGCACTCTCTGGAGCAGCAGAAGCTGCTGGCCTCTGTTTCAGCAGATGACCCTGCTGCCTGTCAGCGAGCTCGCCGGAAACTGGTCAAGTGAGTGCATATAGCATTTTTCTGGTCCAAGAGGATGGGCTTCTAGGAGTTTTCCCAGGGACTCATCAACAAAACTCACACTCCAAAATCAAACCTTTTCACCTGGTTTTTAAGGCCTCTCTTTAGCTGGGTGGCAAACTGTCTAGCCTCAGAGGCTAGCTGTGGGTTTCTCTTCTCTAAGCTGATTGAATGCTTATGAAAGGATTTCTGTGCATGAAGATGCAAGGGAAGGGATTGAATAATGAATAGTTAAGGAACTAGGTCTCATGGCTGCCATCCCCCAAGCCAAATTTTGTAAAGCTGGCAGCCTGACATTAGCAATGGGGGATGGCAGCAACGGGGAAGGAAGGGGATTGGAAAGCAGGGAGGAGATGGGGGCAGGGTGGAGGGAAACCTAAGCACGCCTGATGAGGAATGAGGAACACCTGCTAACCAAGGTCACCCAACAGACTGCAAAGCAGAAAAGCCTATAGAACTGAAGGCCCTTTACCAGTGGTGGGATTCAAATTTTTTTACTACCGGTTCTGTGGGCATGGCTTGGTGGGTGTGACAAAATCCACAATTCCTCCTGATCAACTGGAACTTGGGAGGCAAAGAATAGATGGAGGCAGGGACAGTCAGAGGTGGTATTTACCGGTTCTCTGAACTACTCAAAATTTCGCTACCAGTTCTCCAGAACTGGTCAGAACCTGCTGAATACCACCTCTGCCCTTTACCCAAACAATATACCAGCACTTAATTGGATATTTGCTGGTGTGTGTGTGTGTGTGTGGCCATGGCAAAGGGAATGTTAATTGCATTGTCTGTGTGAAAAAACAGCCAGATTAAGCTCAATCAAGTATACTCTTGACAAAACAATGGCCCAGGAGTCTTTCTTTGCTGGGTGAATGAATGGGATGGTTGACACTAGGCATCTCTAGCCTAACAAGAAGGACTTGGGGTGACAGGATACTGTCTTCCAGTACCTGAGGGACTGTCACAGAGCAGAGGGGGTCAACCTATTCCACAAAGCACCAGAGGGCAGGACAAGGAGCAACACGCTCTTCAGCAGAAGATCCAATCTCAAACTAGGAAGAAATTTCTTGACAGAAGATTTAATCAATGGAACAGCTCGTCTCCATGATTTGTGGTGCTCCATTGTTGGAGGTTTTCAAGATTGGACAACCATTTCTCTGTGATGGTATAAGGATTCCTTTTCCATGGGCAGAGTGTTGGACTTGAAGACCTCCAAAGTTTCTTCCAGCCCTCTGATTCTATGGCTTGCTGCTTGACTCCCTTTCTCTCCCTCATAAGCACAGCCTGGTCATGCTAATCTTTAGTGTAATTGAAATGAATGAACTGGTGAAATGTGAGATTTTGTGGAAAATATCACTCATCCTGTTTATGTTAACATCATCCACATTGTGAGAAAAATACTCTATTTCAGTCAAGGAGATTATGAACAACAAAAAACATTTATTTAGTTATTTATTATAGGCTTTTGCAAAAGGATTCTCAATCATGAAAGATAGAAAGAGAATGTCTGCTAGGTCCAGACACAGTGTTTAAATACAGTATTTTGGGGGTACAGGTCACCGGTTATATAATACATGTTATACAATGGTACTTGGGCATTATTCAACCAGTTGTTTCCCATAAATATCCCCCTTAACAGAAAATCCCCGTTCAGTTCAGTTCCTATGAAGATCATAACAATATAATCCACCCACACCAGCCTCTTGAGACTAAGACTGACCCCAGCATTCCCTGGCCCATCCAATTATTTCTCAGTTAAATTTCCCCTCACTTGAACTTCCCCTTCTGGAAATCCCCTAATAGTTCAATTGTTTTTAAATTATTAGCTGAGTGTTACAAAAGTCACTTATGATACTGCTGTCTTAAGTATTTTAGTATTTAGCTTTAGCTTTAAGTAGAGTGTAAAATGGAGTCTGTCAAAATGGACTCTGTCATGTTATTTCTCTTTTACACAAATAACCTTAGTTTATTTCTCTCACACATTATGGTTTTTTTTAGAGCCCAACTACCTGAGTATATCTTAGATTTTGGCTACATAATCATGGGCACCATCAGAACTCACATCATCAAGATCACAAACACCGGCCACTTCCCTGTCTCCTTCCATGCAGATCGACGGGACCTACGGGACACAGGTACAAGAAGGGCATCATTCCATTTTTTTTCCTAGCCTACATTGAAACAGTGAACAATGGTTTAAAGCCCAAATAATTAAAATGGGACAAAATACATAGAAACTTCCCACGTTTACTGGAAAAGCATAGTTTTTTAATATGTTCCAAATATTGTAGCTTTGTTCATTGCTGGTCATCTTGTATGTCATGGAGATTGCAGTGAGGGAGCGAGGTTCTCTTAGGATCTCTTCCTAGCCTTGCTCACTTTTATCTGTGTTTGCAACATGAGTCAACTTACTGCCGCCCTTTTACCCCAGACTAGAAGAGGCTTCTGTTAGTGTGACCAAAAATAATGCCAGGTCTAATTTGTTGCTTAGCAGCACCAATAAAAATAAAATAAACAAATGGTAAGCCCTGATTCAGTCTGTTCAATATACACACGTGTACATACATACTGTATATATGTAGATGTGCACACCCAGACATGTATACTTTATTGAAAAGACAGTGCCATGTCAGGGTAACAATTACAAATAAAGTAAAGCCAAAGAAAAAGCAATAGCAAATCTTAACATACTTAACAAGCTAATAAATATAACAATAATATATTTACAGTAATTATAATAATACAACCAAAGTAAAAAAACAAAAACAAAATGAGCTTTAACTAAATTTCTACTTACATTAGCCTATTTACAATTTTTCCATATTATATCCATAATTCTATAGCATCTTTATTTTCCATACTAAAAGTTATTGACATTCGTCAACTTCCCTCTCATTTCTACCTCTTGTCTCTATCCATTCATAAAATTTATTCCATGTCCTATAATATTTCGAGTCTTCTTTATCTTTAATTTTTAAGGTTAATGTATCCATTTCAGCACAATCCCAAATTTTCCTAATTATATCATCATCCGGTGGGATGTTCACATTTTTCTAATATTTACCATACATGATTCTTGCTGCCATCAATATGTAACACTAAGTATTCAGTTGCTTTGACTTAACTTTCTGACAGTATACCTAAAAGGCATGTTTCGGTTTGAACTCAATATGTTGCACAGTTATCATTTCTAACCAATTATGAATTTTCTCCCAGTAATTCCTTGCTTTCCTACATGTCCATCACATGTGGTAGTATGTTCCTGGAATCTGTTACATTTCCAGCATTTGGCGGAGGAGTTCTTATACATTTTGGCCAGTCTTGCAGGCAGCAAATGCCACCTATAAAACATTTTGTAGTCGTTTTCTTTATAGGCTGTGGCCATCGTCAGCTTGTAGTTTCTCACAAATTTTTAACCATTTTTCTAGTTCTATATTGTAGTCAAAATTCTTTGCCCAGGCAATCATAATTTCTTTATCTCTTCCTCCATTTTATCTCTTCCTCCATTTTTATCTCTTCCTCTAGAAAATCTGTCCCCATTAAAATTTTATCCAGTTCTTTATTTACACCCCATAATTTAACATCTTTTTTGTGCCTTGATTGGATTTGAAAATACAGTCACCAGGGTAAGTCTGACTCTGCAATTGTTGTCTGGATATTTAAGATCATCCCTTTCATCCAAAATATCCTTGTAACATACAATTTTTCCCCAATTTATAAGATTTGGATATATTATTGCCTCCATTGGAGAGAGCCAGACTGTACTTTCCTATAATGTTGTAGTTTAATTTTTTCCAAATGTTAAGTAACACACTCCATACATTTTTGCCCCATATTTCTGCCATACCAGAGGAAGGCATGCCAGCCTAATTGCAAGTCATGCCCTTCTAATAACAATAGCCTTCTGTTCTTTAAATTCACCCAATCTTTTAGCCAGATGAGAGCTGCGGCCTGATAATATAATTCCTAGCCTGGGAGCCCAAAACCACCATTATTCCTAGAGTCCTGTAGTAATTTCAATTTTATTCTCAATTTTTTACTTTTTACCTTCATTTTCATTTGTTCTTTTTATTTGTTGTGCCAATTCATCCTTTCCTATAAGATTTAATTTGTGTCTAATCAGCTCTACTCCAGTTCTTAAGTCTATTTTTGTGGTTCTTTTTGTGATTTTAATTCAAATTGTTTATATTCTTCTTCTAAGCCTTTTTTTCCAGAAAATTTTAATTTTTTTTATTCTCTTACATACCATTTTAAGTGTACATTCACATAATTCTTCTTCTTTACATTTATCATTCATATACATTGATTATTTCATTTGATAGGTTATAATATACATATACAGTTTGGGTTGCTTTGTTTACCATCCCTTCCNGAAAGGAAGAGGAAGGAAGGAAGGAGGAAGGGATGAGAGGAGGAGAAGGTGGAAGGAAGGAAGGGAGGGAGGAAGGGAGGTAGAGAAGGTGGAAGGAAGGAAGGGAGGTAGAGAAGGTGGAAGGAAGGAGGGGAGGAGAAGAGGAGAAGGCAGAAGGAAGGAAAGAAGAGGAAGGAAGGAGGGGAGGAGAGAAGGAGAAGATAGAAGGAAGAAAGGAAGAGGAAGGAAGGAGGAAGGGATGAGAGGAGGAGAAGGTGGAAGGAAGGAAGGGAGGGAGGAAGGGAGGTAGAGAAGGTGGAAGGAAGGAAGCGAGGAGAGGAGGAGAAGCAGGAGCTAGGAAGGAAGAGGAAGGAAGGAAGGAAGGAAGGAAGGAAGGAAGGAAGGAAGGAAGGAAGGAAGGGAGACATGTCCACCTTCAATGCATCTTTGAAATTTCCATAACAATTTTATCACTGGAGTTTTAAAAGCTGCAGTGGCAGCAGAGACCCCAATGCTACCACAACATCTGCAGCTAATGAATCTCATTTAAACTCCTAATTCTCTACTCGCATGCAGCCAGTTGGCGCCTGGTGTTTGCCAGTTTTGAGTCTCTCTTGCGCAATACTTCTTCATTCCCAGCTAAGTGTGCAGCTTAACAACAGGCCAGGGAAAAGTGTCCAAGCCTGCACCAAAATCATATTGGTTTCCATTGGTCTTTCATAAGATTTTACATGGGTATATTCGAATAGGCCTTCATCACAACGTCAAACACATTTTAATTCCCTTCTCCCAGTCTTAAAGCAAAGAGAACTCAAAAATGAAACTATTCGGATCCTTACTATGTCAGTGGTGCTTTCTTTCACCTCCTTTCATTTAGAAGAACCAGACTGGTAATAAATGACATTATCAAAGAGAGGAAGAGAGATTAAGGCGGCAAATGCACAGCTATAAAATACCCAAATTGGGAATTTTTAAGTATTATATTTGTTTCTCAGTTTAAGCAAATTGTTTCTATCTCATTTATTGGGCTAATACATAAACTGGAACATTTAGCATTCTTCAGCTTCGATGTTTATCATAGGAATGGGATATTTCATTGTTTGATTGCCCCGTACATTGTTGTATTGATTGTTTCTTTTTAATTGCATTTCAATTTGATGTTCAACACACTCTCACACCCAGCCTCCAATGGGGAATTAAGGAGGGAAAATGGTCCTTCAGACTGTTGGGGGGTGGACTATAGTTTGAAAAAAAAATGAACAAATTTCTATGAATACTGCATATATCTTTATTTGTAGTGCAAAAAAACATGAAATAATACAATATTTAAAACGACGAACAACATAAATATACTACTAATTCTATGGGAAGCGTGGGCCTGCTTATTTGGGATTACAGGGCTAAAGGTCTTTTA